ATTAAAAAAAAAAAAAAAGTTAGCTTTGTAATTAATGTCTCATTTATGAGGGCTTGTCTCCTTTGTAAAGGTTTTTCCCTTCCCATGAAGGGGAGGAACTTGATTGTAAACTTTGCAAACACTTTTGTTTACTTCTCTCACTTTTCATTTCCATATTTCCTCTACACTTCCATACTTTCTCTACACATCTTTTCTATACTTCTTCCATGTTTCTTTCATATTTTTAAGTTTTCTTCAACCTCAAGGGTGTTGTAATACTCTGAAAATGTTATAGATAGCAAAAGATTCCATATATGTTTTAATTTATGTTCTTTAACATGTTTAATATATATGTTTTCATTTATGTTCTTGTTCTTTATTTATATACATGTTCTTCATTTATATTCATGTTCTCTATTTATGTGGTTGTTTAATATTCATTAGCCCTTTTAGATGATGTTAGAATTTGTGTGGGTGTACGTGTGTGTTGGGATAAAAGGAGGGCCTTGATCATTTTTAGACCGATTGTTGTATTGATTGGTTCCACCTAGGTCGGCTATCATAGTTTCCCATATGCATAAACTCCATGATTTTCTGACAGCATCTTTAAGGTCTAGTACCACTTGTGGGGTGTACGTGTGTGTTAGGATAAAAGGAGGGTCTTGACCATTTTTAGACCGATCGTTGTGTTGATTGGTTTCGCTTAGATCGGCTATCATAGTTTTTCATATGCATAAACTCCATGATTTTCTGACAGCATCTCTAAGGTCTAGTACCACTTATTATTTGATTAAATAAATATTTAATTTTATTACATGGGAATTAAAGCAAGAAGAAATGTGGTAAGAGTCAGAAGGAATTTACTCGACATTAGTTGCTCAATCAAAAGCTTGTATCCACTTTCCACTTTATTAAAGTATTTAATAAAGTAAAGATACTTTAATAAAGTTGAATGATGGAGGGCCAATGATGGAGGGCCTGAGTTCCCTTTCGTCTGTTGTTATACCGCACTAGTTAATTAAATTGTCAGCAAGTTTAACGTTAACGGTTTATTTCTCCAAATTTATTTCAATTAGAGTTAAATAAAGTTAAAAACTTTAGATAATTTCTAAAGTAGGCCTTGAAACATATTTAGAGTAATTTTTGTGTAGGACTTACTTTACTCTTGGATATATGATTAACAAGTGCATTTATAAAACGTGTTTTAACCATATGTAGTGTATGATATTCAGCTACCATAAATCATGATAATTTCATCGGATACGTGCAGATTATTTCACGTCGATTGTGGTGACCTTAATAGTACACTGCAATTTTATCTTTTATTTTGTAATTGTGTTCGTTTATAATTTTTTAGTTTATAGTTTTATATTTAGGATTTACCACAAAAAGACAACTTTAACCTTAGGTGGTAAACTGAAGTTAGACAAAGTTAGCTTTTAAGGGATGTTAGTGATGAGTTTTTCAAAATCTAGGAGTATTGTTTGGTGAAATCTACAAAAAGGTGGCATATATCATTTATTAAGGAAACTATAGGGTGGTTGGTGATAATCTCCCGTTTTTTGTGAACCCAAATACGAGTCGAAGAAGCTTAACTCATCAACTTAGAGAAGTTCAGTTGACGATAATTAGTAAAGAAATGCACTTATAAATTTGTACCTTTAGCTTTAGCTTTTCTTCATCAAAGAAGTGGATTTTTTTGTTAGCTTTTCTTTTTTGCTAGCTTTCCAACAATCAATATCTGAAAGCATTTTTTTTATATAATAACTTTAATTCAAGCAAATATTATAGTATATATTTTTTTGTTTTGTTTTGTTATTTTATACATTTGTATTTTTAAGATAGAAAGAGTGATTTGAAAGAAAAAAACCTGAGTCTTAAATAATACTTTATAATTCTCTTATCTATAATTATCAATTATCATAACAAGATAATATAGAATATGGTCTAGTTGAATATAATTTTCTTATCTATATTACGACAATTTTATGATATAGTATTCTTTAAGAAAATGCACTAGATATATTAATCAAAGCAGTGGAATTTTTAATCATTATTGCAAAGTTAAATTTATAACTTCAGCTTTAGCTTTTCTTCATCAAAGCAATGGAAGTTTTCCTTAGCTTCCCAAAAATCAGTATGTGAAAGCATTTTTTATATAATAACTTTAAATCAAGCAAATATCATTAGTAAATAGTATTTTTTTTGTTTTGTTTTGTAAAAGCAGCTAAATTTTTTAGTAATCCACGTTTCATTTGGGATAGAATTATTGCAATGGTATAGCCGATACTTTAATAAAGTTGAATGATGGTGGGGCCTGAATTTCCACTTTCCTAGATTGTTACACCGCACTAACTAATTAAAGCGTCAGCAAGCTTAACGTTAAGGTCTATTTTTCCAATTTTATTTCAATTAGAGTTGAATAAAGTTTATTACTTTAGATCATTTCTAAAGTAGGCCATGAATCACATCCAGAGTAATATTGTGTTAACGACTTTTTGTCACCCAAAAAATAGCTCATTGATACTTTCCCACCCCCACACTTTTAAAATACCATTTTATCACCTCAAAAGTTATATACTCTTTTAACAATTTCTCTTAAATACATTGTAATGATGAAAATACCCCCATCAAAGGTTAACTCCCAATCATTGGCGACCGCAACACAACTCAGCCAAATTTTGGCACGGAAAATCTGCGTAAAATCAACGCCACTTGCCCCATTTTCCTCTTTCTCCGCCTGATTCCACCCTATTTTACGCCAATCATCTCTAAGGTTCGCGCGACTTCTCTTGCCAAATTCTGGAGATTTTTGGCGACCAAAATCAAAATTGACACCACCCCTAGACTCATCATCAACCCCTTAACAAAACCCCCCCAACCTTTTGGTGTATGATCACTCACCATTCGTCAGCTATTGCTTATTTGGCTATCTCGTGATGTCATTGTTTGACGATTGGATTCTAGCCATTAAAACAAGGGCATTATTGTCCAAAATTTTTATTTAATAAGAGATAAAATTGTAACAAAAAAAAAAGATTATTTTGATAATCTTACAATATCTAGGAAAATTGAGGTAATTATATTACATCCAATATTACCAGCAGTGACCACTATTGGTAATGGAAGAATACCAGAATCTTATATTACTTTACAAGCAAGCGTGATAATCAAGTAATATAAGATGTCATAATCCTAATAATCTTATATTACCTCTAACCAAACACCCCTTAAAATCAATGAGTTTATTATCTTTTTCTCTTTATTGTCGGAAGAGGGAGTCATGATTAATGATGGAGGGGTCTAATATCCACTTTCCACGTTTCTCACTAAGGGTGTTCAAAAGAACCGATTGCAACCAAAACCGTTAGATACCCGAGGTTTGGTTTTAGTTCCTACCCAAAACCAGTTGTCAACGGGTAGGTTCCGATTCCAAATTTTTAGAACCGTCACTGTGTGATTCCGGTTCTAGTTTCTACAGTTAGGAACCATAATCGAGAATCGAGACTAATATAAAATAAAATTAAAGAGTAAGGGGGTTAATAAAAACTGTTATAGAAAAAGTAACGTGAATACATTCATATTTATATTTCATAACATTTAAAATAAGTTGGTTTGACTTTTTAGAATCTACCTTTACAAAGTAATAGAGTTTGTAATTTGTAATTTTATATTTGTTAACAAGTATCATGTGGGGGGTATTTGTAAGTTTTTAAGGATTTTTTTTTCATTTTAAAAACTTTTAAGGGTAATTATGATTTTATAAGGTATTTGAAATCGAAACCGTTGTTATAAGTTTCGATTCTGGGTATCCAGAGACTGGAACCGTTGGTATCAGTTTCAATTCCAAATTTAAAGAAACTATCAATTTTAGTTCTGATTCTAATTCTTTAAAAAAATTATAAAGTACCCATAACCGAACACCCATATTCCTCACAAAGCACTAAATAATAAAATTATCTGCTAAAGGTTAATATATATTTTATGAAGATAACAATGCTGAAGTGCATTTATAATGCCATTTGAAAAACCCTTTTTTAAGTGAAGGGACAAGAAATAATCTTTTCGACAGGAAACAAATAATTTGTTTTCAAAAACTAGTAAAGTAGAAACCAAACTGAAACAGTGGATGGAAATATATGACATTGACAAGACAGACATCAAGCCCACACTTCAACAAAGGAGCTGAAAAGAAGACTTAGTAATTGGCTGAAACAATCCGAGCAGATGATATGATACTACTGGATTATGAAAACTAATCGACGGCTGCGATTTACATGTAACATTGTTCAAGCCTACAACAGCGATTTACATGTAACATTGTTCAAGCCTACAACAGCTTCTCATAACTTACATCATATCATCATTCACATCTATCAAAGAGCTTTTGCGTTTGGCTCCTTCCCTCCTTCAGCAGCTTTACTTTGCTTCTTAACCCCAACACGGTATCTTAATTTCCTGGTGTCATTTTTCTTTCTTAAGGTTTTTTCTTTTTTCCTTTGCAATTTTAAGTCTTGCTGAAATTTCTTTTTCCCAAGTTTTTGTTATTGTTGAGTTTGTTAATTATCTTATTAGTTTTTACTTCTGCTTATTTTATTTGCTTTGTTCAGCGCTATTTAACTGCAAATATTTTATAGCTCTTCAAAAATAAATCTAGTTTTTCTTTTTCAGAATCCCACAATATTCTTTTTTGATTTATTGTGTTGAAAACGAAATTTATCTGAGTTTATAATTATTTCCATATTATTCAAAATTAAATAAAAGTTTCCAGTTTTGTTTGTGTTAATTTTCGAATTATTTCTCAATCTTGTTTCTTTTTCTTCTTATTCTAAATATTTACATCTTTGAAAGACCGGCCAGGACTAAACTCGTCTTTTTAAAAAACTAACACTGCTTATTCAACAAGGCTTTGTTGATTGTTGTCTGCTTTTCCTTCCTTTTTGTTGTCTTTGGTCACACGGGTTCCGGTTCGCTTCGTTACAACCAAAAAAAAAAAGAAAAAAAGAAAAAAGAAAAAAGCAATGGCTGCTGAACTAGGTGGCGCTGCAGTTTCTGGCGTTGCATCAAAAGCTGCAGAGTCAGCGTTTGATTTCATTGGACAGCATATATCTTATTTGTTCAAGTACGGGAGCTACATCAATGATCTCAAGAATCAAGTTGAGGATCTGGGAAATGCAAGAGAGAGGGTGGAACATCAAGTTGATGAAGCTAGAAGACGAGGGGAAGTGGTTGAAAAGGATGTGGAACAATGGCTGAAAAGAGTAAATGACTTCACTGAAGGGGTTGTAAAACCCATAATTGGTGATGAAGATAAAGCAAAGAAGCGTTGTTTCATCGGGTTGTGTCCTAATTTGATTCAGCGTTACATGCTCGGCAAGAAGGCAGCGAAAGCGTTACCAGGTGGTGCCGATCTGTCGGGGAAGGGGAACTTCAGTAGTGTTTCCTACCGTCCTGCAATACAGAGGACAGAATCCATTTATATTACAGGCTATGAGGCCTTTGATTCTAGAATGCCAGTTTTACAGGGAATTATGGAAGCTTTGAAGGATGCTAATGTTAACAAGGTTGGGGTGTATGGGATGCCTGGTGTGGGCAAAACTACACTGGTGAAAAAAGTAGCTTGGCAGGCCAAGGAAGATGAGCTATTTGATGAGGTGGTCATTACGACTGTAACACAGACACCAGACATTAAAAAAATCCAAGGAGAAATTGCTGATCAATTAGGCCTAACATTTCATGAGGAGAGTGTATCCGGAAGATCTCATCGACTACGTGATAGGTTGAAAAGGGAGAAGAGTATTCTAGTAATATTAGATGATATATGGGCCAAACTTGACTTGGATGCTGTTGGAATTCCTTATGGAGACGTTCACAGGGGAATTGGCCAAAGAAAAGATGATGAGAGGCAATACAAGATATTGCTTACGTCTAGAGATCAACATGTATTATGCAATCATATGAATATTCAAAAAAACTTCTTGGTTGATCTTTTATCAGATGAAGAAGCATGGTATTTGTTTCTAAAGACTGCAGGTGATTCTGTTGAAACCTCTGATATTCGACCTATAGCAGTAGAGGTGGTCGGGAAATGTGCACGTTTGCCGATTGCTATTGAAACAGTAGCAAAGGCTCTTAAAAGTAAGAGTCTTCCAGTTTGGGAGGATGCCTTGCGTCAACTAAGAAGGTCTAATCCTAGACAAATTGAAGGAATGGATGAACGTGTGTGTTCTATTATAGAACTGAGCTACAATTTTTTGAAAAGCGAGGAAAAATCACTATTTCTTCTTTGTGGTTTGTTGAATGCAAGTCCTGGTATAGTCATTAGTGACTTATTAAAATATAGTATGGGTTTGCATTTGTTTAGGGATGTTTATACCTTGGAAGATGGAAGAAATAGATTGCTTACGTTGATCCATAATCTCAAAGCTTCGTCTTTGTTGTTGGATAGTATCATCAATTATTCCGTTAAAATGCATGACCTCATTCATGCTGTTGTTATATCAATTGCATCCTCAGAAGAGTTTATGTTTAATATTAAAAACGTTGGTGATTTGAAAGAAGTGCTAGAGGAAAAAATACCGAAAACTTCAACTGCTATAACTTTGCCCTATGGAGATATTGGTGATGAGCTTCCTCAGAGTTTGGAATATCCGAAACTCAAGTTCTTTTATCTATTAAGCCGAAATCACTATCTGCAAATCCCAGAACTCTTATTCCAAGGGATGAAAGAACTTGAAGTTTTGGATTTGACTGGAATTCGTCTTTTGCCACTACCTTCCTCACTTTGCTGCCTAAAAAACCTTCAAACACTGTGTTTGGACAGCTGCGTACTAGACGATATAGCAATAGTTGGTGAGCTTAAGAAGTTAGAAATTCTTAGCCTGCTATATTCTGACATAGAAAAGTTGCCTGAGGAAATTGGACAATTGACTCGATTGAAGATGTTAGATTTGAGCGAGTGCTCAAACTTGAAATTAATTCCACCAAATGTCATTTCAAGCTTGTCTCGATTAGAAGAGTTATACATGGGCAATGGCTTCCGTCATTGGGAGATTGAAGGTCTAATGAACAATCACGAACGAAAGAATGCTAGTATTCTTGAGTTGAAGCAATTGTCTCGCCTTACCACTCTTGAGATACGTGTTCACAATCTCGAGATTATACCTCAAGACTTCTTTTTTTTGGAGAAGTTGAAAAGATATAGAATACTTATAGGAGATGTGTGGGATTGGAGCTGGCATGCTACTTATGGTGAAACCTCGAGAATGTTGAAAATCAAGCTCAACAATAGCATTTCCTTGATCCATCGAGTTAAAATTTTGTTGAAGAGAACTGAAGAACTCCATTTAGAATTGAATGGTGTTAAAAATGCTATTGATGAACTTGATGAGGATGGTTTTGCACAATTAAAGCATCTTCATGTGCGAAATGGTCATGAGCTCTTGTATATTTTGAACTTTGCTCCTAGCAAAACTGTCTTCCCAAAGTTAGAGTCATTGTTTCTTCATAATTTGATTAAATTAGAGAAGATATGTGGTGGCAAACTCTTTGCGGAGTCTTTTAGCAAACTAAGAATTTTGAAAGTTGAAAAATGTGATATGCTGGTGCATCTCTTCTCGTTCTCTGATAATAAAAAGTTTTCACAGCTTCAAGAAATTGAAGTCATTGATTGTAAAAATCTAAAGGAGATTTTTGGTGAAAACGAAAGGAATAGTAAGTTTGAGTTCACTCAATTGCATTCCCTAGTACTACAATGCCTACCACGATTCATAAGTTTTGGCGTGAAGGTATATTTTCTCATTTTCTTCTTTTATTTTCTTTTCATGTATAAAAAGTGTTTTGTAATTAGTTTCTAAGTTATTTATGGAGAGATTTGCTTTTGCAGGTTGTTTTCCCAAGGTTGGAGAACTTGAAACTATCGTCAATTAATATTGAGAACATATGGGTTGATCAACCTCAACCAATGTCTTCCTATATTCAATGCTTAAAAAGCTTAACCGTGGAGGAGTGTAATGGTTTAAAGTTTTTGTTTTCATCCTCTATAGTCAAAAGTCTCGTGCAACTCCAAAGGCTTGTGATATGCAACTGTAAGTTGATGGAAGCAGTAATTTTTGACTCACAAGGCTTAGAAGGAGAAGATAAGATAATTGATTTGAGTTTTCCAAAACTATTCTACCTAAAGCTTGTGGGTCTTCCAAAACTCACAAGATTTGGCATTGGAAATTCAATTGAATTCCCCACCTTGAATGAACTTCACATTCAGAATTGCTCTAATTTGAAGACATTCTTCCACAACTCTTTTGGTGCAGACACGCTAAGAAAGGAACCTGATGAAGTGAGCTTGGAAAAACATATTACTGATATAAATCCCCTCTTCAACGAAAAGGTAAAGTTATTTCTTATAATTGAAATTTTATGTTGTCTATTGGCCTCAAAATTTTAAAATTCTTTATAGCTATTAATGTCACTATTATCTGCAAATAATTAGTAGAAATTCACTTATAAATTCTTTAGTTTTCTCTTTTTCTTTTAAGAGAGACAAAATTTGTTTGATATGTTTTTATTTTATATATTATTTTAGTATCATTATCATTACCAAAACATTAGCATGGGGATATATTTTTTGTAGGTTGCTTTTACAAGCTTGGAAAAGATGATATTCTTTCACTTGGATAACTTGCAGTTGATATGGCACAACCAATTCCATAAAGATTCTTTTTCCAAACTCAAAGAAGTGAGAGTCGAATACTGTGAAAATTTGTTGACTATTTTTCCTTCTAATTCTACTCAAGGATTTCTTACCTTTCACAATCTAGAAACATTAATTGTTGAGAACTGTTGGAATATGAAAAGTTTGTTTCCAGTTTCCATAGCTACTGGTCTTTTGCAACTTAACGAGCTTTGGATTTCCTTTTGTGGGTTGGAGGAAATTGTTGCCAAGGAGGAAGTAGAGGGGACCCCTACATTTTTGTTTCCTCAATTAACCTTCCTCAAACTTGAAAATTTAGCAGAACTGAGACATTTCTACCTGGGTTTGCATACAATAGAGTGCCCAATGCTAAAAAGGTTGGTGGTGCATAATTGTGGAAAGACAAAAGTAAATGCTTCAAATGGAGAGAGCCAACCTGCCCTGTTTTCGTTTGAAAAGGTATGACTTCGTCTATTGCAACTAAAAAATGCAACATAATCAATAAGGTTAATTTATGAAATTTCTTTCTTTTTGTTATTATTTCATTTTTCTCTTTAAATCAAGAATGAATTTATAGTAACCGACTAGTCATGTTTCAGAGTAAGACATAAATGTTGATTTAGCTACTTGAATATCTATTTTTGTTAATTTATATTTTGTACTTTAAAGTAGTTTATAATTAGAATGTCAGAATTATATTTATTTAAAAATATAATTACTATAATTAATTGGAAAGTCAAATGGTTATAAACAAAATTGCAACTTTCTTCTAAATTTAAAAACCTGACTCATGAATATTTTTGCTTGTTCTTCTTTTGCATTGTTGCTATTAATATGATTATATATATATGACCATCATCACTAATATTTTTATTGTCATTATTTTATTATTTAAAAATGAGTAAGAATACATAGACAGTTCCAAAATCATGAGGTGCAAGAGCTATTATCTTTGATAACTAGGCTGTTAAATTCTCAAACTCCTGTTCTTGCAACAATCCATGATCCCAGCCTCCACAACTATTGTAATGAAAAAATTTGTAATTGCAAGATTCCAAATATCTCAAATCATGGTGTGTATATATATATAAAAATTATTCTGTAAATTAACGAATGAGATTTCATTTTTGATAATCTAAGAACTCATTCAATATCGTATTCAGAGGAATTTCTTGAGAATAAAAAATTTTAGATTACTGTTGTAGGACTTACTTGACTGGGTCTATTAGAACTACTTATAACTAAACAATATATATAAAACCTAACCAAATGAGAAAATAAAAACTAAGAAACAAAATCATATATATTTTTTTTCTTGTGAAAAATTGTGAAGATAAGATCATTTTTTTTACCTTATACAGTTATTATTTCCTTTTGCATTTTATAGAACTGGATATAATTTTTCATGTCTATTAAATAGCAAAAAATTATTGTTAAATTGTTTGACGTATTTTGTGCACAAGTTGTGGGTGATTTTAATTATTGGGTACATAAACATCATTAAAATATAACATTCCTATTACTATTTATTGGAAAGTGTGTTTTCTTTTTCGTTTTGTTAAAAAAAGACATATTAGTATGATAAAAGAATTGTCTTCTCGTGTCCTTGTCATTATTGGTCCTTAGGAACTAATCTTAAAATCACCCATTGTCAATGTTTTATAACAAAGAATAATAGTACAAGAAGGAAACCTTTTGTTAAAAATATAAAATGTTATAATTAGCAACTGCCCATGTTAAAATCTCAGTGACTTTGATATCAATCCACATTGTTATGCTTGAAATAATTTATTTTTAATTTTTTATATCTTTGGCCAGTTGTAAATGGTTTTAACCAAATATTTTGTGTTTTATAGGTTGGTTTTTCCAATTTAGAACATCTAGAGCTCTCTGAATTCCCTACATTAAAAGAAAGATTTTGGAACGCCAAAGTTCCTGCCAGCTCATTCTACAGTTTAAAGTTGTTGGTTTTGGACACGTGCTTGGACACATCAACTGCTATTCCATTCAATGTGTTGTGCAACTTAAAAAATCTTGAAAAATTGGAAATAAGAAATTGTGATACACTGAAAGAAGTGTTTGATATGGAAGGACAATTAAATGTTGACAGACATACATTGAAGAAAAGTAATCTAGAAGTTTTGGACTTCAACAACCTGAAATCCTTTAAAGTTCACAATTGTCGTAGCTTGAGACGTATATTTACTCCATCTATCATTTTGGGTCTTGCTCAACTAGAAGAGATAGAAGTAAAAAATTGTGCTTTGATAGAAGAAAGTATCTTGAAAGAAGAAGAAAAGGAAGCAGACATTGAGAAAATTGTGGTACCCCAATTGAACTCCATTATTCTTGAGTCATTGCCTAACTTGACAAGCTTCTATTCAGGAATGAATACTTTGGAATGTCCTGCCTTGAAAGCTATTACAGTAGCCAAGTGTCCACAGATTGAGACATTTGTTTTCACTAATATAAAGCACCAATCTGACCATATTGTGCCCCTTCTTAGTGAAAAGGTTTGTATGATTGAAACTCTTTCATCACTGTTTTAATTTTATTATCTTTATAATAATCTATGTTATTATCATCATCCACAGTTATTAGAAATTCAATTATCATTCATGGTTGAAAATAATATACATTTTTTTTAGTGATTTTTAAAAAGACAAAATCTTTTTGTTGAATTTAATAATATTAAAATTATTATTTCCAATATATTTCGAAAAGCTTACCTCGAGATGTTTATTGTAGGTTGTTTTTCCAAGCTTAGAGAAGATGTTTCTCTCACGCCTGGATAACTTACACTTGATATGGCACAACCAACTCCATGCAGGTTCCTTTGGCAAACTAAAACAAGTGACAATTGAATTTTGTGAAAAATTAATGACTATTGTTCCAGCTAATAATAGTCAAGGACTTCTTACCTTTCACAATCTAGAATCATTACATGTTGAGAAGTGTTGGAGTTTGAAAAGTCTATTTCCAGTTTCCACAGCTACTGGTCTAGTGAAACTTAAAAAGTTGAGTATATATTCTTGTGAGTTGGAGGAAATTGTTGCTAATGAAGAAGTAGAAGGGGCCCCTTCCCTTGATTTGTCTGGAAAGGTATGAATTTATCTATACTTTTTATAAAATGTAACATAATCATTTAGATTAATATGACATGTTCATGATACCAATTCTGTGGCATTGCTACTAATTATCTTACAATTGAGGTGATATATGTATTTTGTGTTGCATACTTGCCTGTAAAAGATAGTCACCAACTGAAGTTTTTTCCCTTTTCAAACCGAATGGCAGTAAACTAAGTGGTTGGTCTTGTTTTATTGATTAGATATTATTGATTTTTGTGAATTAAGAAGTTCATTTTTGTTAGCTTATGTATTTTTTTATTTTTTTGAAGTATATTTATTTAAAACATATAATTAATTTAATTAATTGGGGAAGTTAAAAATTTCACCGATTTTGTACTGATTACAAGTTCCTTTTTCAAATTTGTCTCTTCCTAATACAATTAGTTTCTTTTTTTTTCTTAAAACAAAAAAATTAGGTCAGATAGTTTTGCTTGCTTATGGTTTCCTAAAAGTTAATCAAAGGAACTGACTTCTTGTTGGTCAATAACATGATATGCTCAGTAACACCTTCTTGCTTGTTCATCCATTTTGACTTACAGGTCATGCCCAATTTGGAATCATTGTCTTTAAATGTCGATGCCTTTAGACTGCAAACTAAAAGACCATTGGAGGGATTCTGCAAACTAAAAGAACTTTGTTTGCGTGAATTAAATGATGAATCAATTCCATTTTTCTATGGCTTCCTCAAAAGGTTATACAGTTTGGAAATCCTTACTCTACGTGATATTAGGTCCAAAGAGCTATTCCTATATGAAAGAGATGCAACAAAAGAAGATTCTCAAGTGGATCCATTTCTTCCACATCTTAGAGACCTGAGAATATAGACATGTCATGATTTGACACATTTATGGACATCCTCAGTATCTTTCACAAATCTTACAACTTTGGATGTATCTGATTGTCATGGATTGGTAAACATATTTACATGCTCAACTGTCAAATCTCTTGTCCAACTCACAAAAATGTCAATAAGAAGATGCAAGTTATTGAAAGAAGTAATAATAGGTGAATTTAATGAGATAGAAGAAGAGACCATGTTTTGCCAATTGAAAACTTTGGAGCTTTATTCTTTATCAAGCCTCACATGCTTCTGCCCAACAATATGTGCCTTCAAATTCCCATGCTTGGAACAAGTAACTGTGAGCGGATGTCCAAAATTAGAGATCTTTACTCAAGGAAGTTTAAGCACGCCAAATTTAAACAAGGTGCAAAAAATACAAAATTGGTTTACTAGAGAATATGTTTGGAAGGATGATCTGAATTCCACCATCCAACAAATGTTTACAGAGATGGTACGTACTCATTCACAAAATCTTCTTATTTTTTTTTACCATCTTTGCTATTAATACTGGTATACATGTCTTTATTACTATTACACTAGAGTAGATTAGATATGATTGTATAATTTATAATACTGTTCCATATTTGATGTATAATTAGACTAAATTATAAATACTGTTGAATTGATATTGATAATAATATAAATATATATTAATTAAAAATTCCAGTTCCCCCTAATAAATATGTGTTAAATTAAATAAAACCAACCCTGTGTCTTTATTACACTAAAAGTCGCCACATTTCATCTTGTTCAACTCTCCACTGCTACAGTCACAAGAGGCCAGCTCAAGCGGCACTGGTGTTTCTAGCTAACGACGTCACAAGCCACGGAGCCACCGTCACCGGCGTCACTGATTCTAGCACTCTCTGTGACAAGCGGCAGGTAAGCAAAATCATTCTGCTCGACTTTTAAACTAGATTTTAAGAGTGAATGCTTTGTGTAATCGAGGTTTGATATTTGTGTTTTAGAACTCAAGCTTCGTTTACTTGTGACTTTGATAATTATATTAACTGAAGCTTCAGTTTGATGTTTGACATTTTCTTATATAAGACCTGTAGATGTTTTTGATTGATCAAGTTAAGTGATGTTGCAGAGTTGTTTGATAAAATGTTTGAAAGAGATGCATTTTTATTTCAATACAATGTTACATGGAAGATTTCTTAATTAAATTCATATAATTATGACATGAATTGAAATTACTTAATAAAACAAAATTATTTCTTTGCACCCCAACACAGAATCGATCGCCAATTTCATTTTATTTGTTAAATAAGGCTCTGAATGGGAATTAAGTTTTTCAATTCTAGTGTAAGTACTTTTACTTTATTTAAACTCCTTGATAAAGTTTGATAACCAAATTAATGTCATCAGTTTTATTTGTTTCCTTACTGTTTCATTGGTGTAAAACTTGCATTCTTGCTTTTGACCATATCAGAGCTACTGTTGTTGCCTGCATATTCAGGATGATGATATACAAATGAACAAGATCCAAATGGGAGTGGGAGGCAACGAGACAGCTATGATTGTGTTGGGGTTCCAGCAGGAAGGCTATCCCCAGAGAGGGCTAACCATTCTAGTGCTGCTCCAAGTCAGGAGGTATGAGCTAATGTACTTTTTAGATATTTGTTCTTTTTTTTTTTAATTTCAGGATGCCTTCAACAAGCTTCATGATTTGGAGAGTTCACTTGCTTCATTTCTTCAGTTGCTAACAACTTCATCAATATCATTAACTGTCTTCCAGGGTAGTGGAATGTATTTTCCAAAAATTTTCAGTTTGAAATTGTTTGTGAATTTAGTGGACTGGAAAAACAAATGCTGACTCAAGAAACTTTTGTTCCCTTATTCATTTTTGTTATTTTCTAATCATTACTATTGTTATGCATTTGTGAAATAAAATTGCAAATGAGAAAAACCTGTAATTATTTTTTTCCCTTTATTGATTCAGAGTAGTTTTGATATTGCTGAGGATGATGAGGGTACTACTAGTCCTAGTTGGAAGGTTACTGCTCAATTAGATACTGAGCAACAATTTCTTACAAAGACTTACCAGGGGCCTTGGACCAAGAAACTGGAAGGAGTGAGGGTGAGAATTCAGGGAAAACTATCTCTTTACCACATCATGCCATTTCTGAGGATAAAAAGTTCTTGTGTGATTCACTAATACTCATTAATGCTTTTTCTCTTAAAAAAGTTACATGTGAAGGGGACAGGTAATCTTGATTGTAATTGTAGCTATATTTTCTCCCTTTTTTTTTTTTTTTTTTTTGGCGCTACTGTAAATGTGAATTTATGATTTGGTTATTTCTTCCTTCTTTGTTCAGTTATAAAAAAATGGCTATTATACTATTCAATATGTACTATATAACTTTTCCCCGTTTACCTGAAAATTAAATTTTGACATGTTCTGCTTGCTTTTTTAGAAGTTGATCTGAATTCTTAGATATATTGTTTAGCTTATAATTATTCTGGAAATATTAGAGTAAAAGCACCTAAAAGTTATCACATGCTACTTGTTCAAATAATGCAATTCTTAGATTCAATTATTCAAAAGGAATTAGTCTTTCAGTGTTCTTCCATATTGCACATCTTTATTTGTGAATGGGCTCTGTAAATTTGCTCATGTAGATGCATATATAGTTGTATGGAGACACATTAAACCTTTTGACCTAGATGCTGCCTTCAATTTTTGACCCTGTAGAAAGAATCATGTAAAGTTGTACAGAATTATTTTTGGATTGTTTTGAACCTATGTTGTGCGAAATGCCAGCTTAAAAATTCTAGGACACAAATGTTAAAATTAGAATAAGATTTGGTTTTTGGTGGTGACACATAATACACCATGCCAAAATGTTTTCTTTGTATCAAAAGCCTGCCCTCTGCACAAAGCTATACATTGAATTCATATATTTATATATATGTTTCTTGTTTTGACAATATCAAAAGTACCGTGTTGCCTGCATATTCAGGATGATGATATATAGCAAATGGACAAGATCCAAATGGAAGTGGGAGGCAAAGAGACAGCTAAGATTGTTTGGGGTTCCAGCAGGAAGGCTATCCCCGCAGAGGTCTAACCACTCAAGTGTGCTCTAAGTCAGGAGGTAGTATTTTCTAGATTTTTTTTTTTTTCCTTAAATGTTCATCATATTTCCTCATTTTCCTTTTGCTGTTTTAGGATGGCTTCAAGGAGCTTCATGATTTGGAGAGTTCATTTGCTTCATTTCCTATCAAATCATTGCAAGAACTTAAGTAAGGATTATTTCTGTCTCATCTTTTCATCAATATCATTAAGTGTCTTCCAGGGTAGCGGAATGTATTTTCCAGAAATTTTCAGTTTGAAATTGTTTGTAAAATTGAGTTGAATTAAAAACAAATGCTGACTTAAGAAACTTTTTTTCCCCAATCCATTCTTCTTATTTCTAATCATTACTTTTCTTATGCATTTGTGTAATATAAATGCAAATTAGAAAAAAAGACAGCATTTTCTTCATTGTAATTGTTTTTTCCCTTTATTGGTGTAGTGGTTGTTTTGATATTGGTGAAGATGATGAGGGTTCAAGTAGTCCTACGTCAGTTTCTTTTAAGACCAAGAAAGTGGAAGGAGTGAGAGTGGGAATTCAGGGAAAACTAGCTCTTTACCTTATCATCCCATTCCTGAGCATAAAAAGTTTTTGAGTGGTTCAGGAATACTCGATAATGGTTTTTCTCCTACGGAAGTTACACGTGAAGGAGACAGGTAATTTTGATCATAATTGTAGTTGTACTTTCTCCTAATTTATTTGCTACCAAGAGGTTGTTGTTGAATTCCTAAGATAAGAATGTGAAAACTTAGGAGTTATCTAGGCATTATCTAGTTTTTAAATTTAAAAGTTAGGATAATCCTTATCCTAACTTAAGGTTATCAAGATATCTAGAGTTAGTCTATAACTAGAGATGTATGATATGTATTTTTTTAAGTGAATAAGTGTGAATAAGTTTTTCCTCTATTTTTTCATGGTATCAGAGCCAGGTTCTCTGGCCATAGTAATTGATGGTTAAAACAGCCATGACTGGTGGCAGGCAGGGTAGGAGCCTAAGTCCACCACATGTTCAACAGATTCCTTCTTCAGATCTGCAATCTNCCTGAAATTTGATTGAGTGGTGGAGCCCCCTTGATTGCACCTTCATCCAGTTGCTTTACTGCTTGGATTTGTTTTATGGGTTCTGATTTGGCGATTTCTCAAGTATGTTGTCAAGCAACTTTGCAAAATGCTGTTTGTGAATATTGTTTTAATTCATTATTTGCACTATCAGCGTTGAGTTTCATGTCTATTTCACGTAATAAAATATTTATTCTTGTTGAAGATTGGTAAATGTGAAGCCTTAAAGCGACACCGTTTAACTTAAGCCAAGAAATTCCAAAACGACACCGTTGTGACTTAAATCTACGCTCAATCCTGATCGTTGGTTTGAATCCAGATCTAACGGCTGAAGACTTAAGTTGAGTCAAACCTATAAAAGCTGATGACTCTTCAGTTTTTCATTAACGCATTTTTTCTCTCTGTTTTGATATCTCTCTGAGTTACAAATTAGGATTCAAGATTAGGGTTTGTTCGTGTGGGTGTAAATCTACGGGAAATTTGTCCATTGAGTTGTGTTTCTTAGTGGGGAGGGAACCTGGTGTAGTGTTCTTATCTCAGATTGTAGGTTTACTGTTGTTGTTTCAAATCCTGTTTGATCTTGGTTGAAATCTTGTAAGAGAGAGAAGTTGAGGGTTGTAACCGTTCTTGATCGAAATAGAAAGTGCAGCGAGCATCCATATTCTGGAGCTTAACGTGGACGTAGCTTGTTCAATATTGAACAAGTGAACCACAGTAAATACTGTGTGTTGAATCTGTTTGGTTTGCGTTGATTGTGTGTTTGTTGGTTGATGTTTGCTTGATTGGTTTAAGATTATTTACAACAAAGATATTAAATATTAGCAAGTCTCTGCTTGGTAAAATGAAATAAAGTATTCAAGCTTCCTACATTTAATGAGCAAAGCCTTGAAGGCAGGTTTGAATGTTGATTTGCGAAGCTAGATTTTTCTTAGAAGAATTATTTTTGTAGTAATTTTTATGAGTTTTAGTAAACATTTATGGTACTTCTAATTTGTAATAAATTTTTGTAGAATATGAGTATAATAGTAATATCTATAACAGAATAATTATATATGTAGTCGTGAGAAAATAATGTGATCCATTACCATATAGTGTAGAGACATGATAGTTGCAGGGCCCTTCTATTGACTGATACTTAGGAACAGTTCAAGTTTCAATTTTCATTTGGAATGTAGAAACATGACGAGTCCTAATCTCTCTAATTAACTGGTTTCCTTTTGACTGCTAGCTTTGAATTGTCGCTAGAAAAAAGTTGTTCGATTACTATTTAGTGAAGAGATGTGATAGTTGCAGTGCCCTTGGTATATAATTAGAGTGATCCCTGGGTACAATTCAAGATTCAATTTTCATTTGGTGGTTGCCTTTTGAGTGCTAAGTTTGATTTGTGGCTAGATAGCCCCCACACCAGAGAAGAAAAATTCCACAAAAGTACCTAGGTGTAGGCCAGCATGTTGCAGCTAAAACAAATCTTTCCAACACTCCAGGAAGATTTTGAAAAGAAAAATTCCACACCAGAGAAGAAAAATTCCACAAGAGTAGCTAGGTGATTTTGAAAAGAAATTACTGACCATGAAAGACAGCATTATTATCTATCCTTCTCCAGGAAGAGGCCACCTAGTTTGATGCTGTCACTACGATGCTAATTTTGTTCAGTTTCCGGCTTCTCCGACTTCTTTTGCTGGCTTTAACCCGTTAGCCAATAATTACTAACACTTTTTATGTACATGAAATTTTAGTAATTTGAGGAATGCTATGGAGCCAAGTGACGAATTCATGGTAGATTATGGTCCATATTTAATTCGTAATAAATGGCCTGGAGTTATGTGTGACTTCAGCATTCTTGGGAATATTTGTTAACAGGAGGATATGGCAAGAATCATGCTCCCAGTGATATCATTCAGCTGATTCTTAGAACTTATATGAGTCAAATTCTTAATAATCAAGTTTTCACTACTTTCAGGTGTCCTTTATGGACTCTTAGTTATTATGTTTGAGTCCAATTAAGAGGATACTTCTAAAGACAATGAGGAAATCTGATGATGGAGGGAAGAATGTGCTCTAGAGGCAGATTTTTATTCATTCGGTGACCATTATTACATCAGAAAAGAACTTAAGATACTGAACCTTCTCACTGGGTATAGAAGCTTTGTGTTATGGTCTGCTATGAAATTATGCTCTCTTAATGTTGTCAACCTAAAGGTATATTTTCCTTCTTGACAAATTTGGTGGAGTAAGATGGCAAGGGTTCGGTTTGTCAACACCTGAGGAATTGTCATCTCTTCTTTCTTGCACGTCACTCCTTTTAGAAGGGGAATGAGGTAACCAAAGCACATAGCATATTCTTGACTTTTAGATCATCTTGAGTTCAACAAGCAAGACTCTTGAATTTAGTGTCCTGTCAAGTTTTGTAATTCTGTGAAAAAGATTTCTGGTTACAACTTTCCTTTTGTGAAAGAACATAATTTATATTCTGCATTTGCTGTGAAAAGCATGGCTGAGAATTCTCGTTGCCAAAGGTGGGAATTACTTTTGAGTATTTTAAGCACAATGAGAGGATTTTGTTGAAGAGGACCTGAGTTATAATTTCTGAAAGCAACCGATAGAAAATGAAAAATCGATTACGTTTAGAGTTGAGTGAAATATTTTTGGAAACTCTGGGCTCTTTTTTTAATTTGTCTTTTGTTCAGCAAATATAGTACTCTGTGTAACATTCTTAAGAAACATATTCGATATCAATCATTAACATAAGGAAACATGCAAGTAGAATGGTAAATGGATAAGATAATCTAGTTGGTTAATTCAGGTTAAATCTCATACCGCAAAAATAAATGGTTTAGGGATCAATCTCCTTCAATACCAACTTCGGAGAGGAATCTGTTGAAGTGCAAAATAGAATGCAAATAACATGTTTCCTTAATTGTGAAACAATATTATGTTTCCTTATTCTAGGAGATTTTAGATATTATTACAATATTATATTTTCTTATTATATAGCTTAATTTTTGTATAAATAAGCAATGTTGATCAATTATAATCAATTCAATATAATTGAATTCATTAAATTATCTTTTGAGTCTCCTTTGCTCATAATTTCGACAGAATTTATTTTTTGAATTAGGTTTTCTCACGTCTATTGGCATCAGAGTAAGAGGCTTGAGTTGTGCCTTTTTTTTTTTTTTAATTATTATCTCTAAAATGAGGTAAATGGCTCTTTTCTAAAAGGCAAAAAAAACTTTTGTTGATGCGTGATTTTAACACCAACTAATCGACATGTGCGTAACGTTGATTGATCAAAGGACACACGTGATTATGGAGAGAATGTAGAATAAATGCAATGAGAGCTTTTTAAAGTGGTTCGGATGCTAAGGTAGCAAGTCCTACTTCCACTGATTTGTATTAGTATAGTGGGTTAGGTCGCAACAGCGGACTGACTTACAAATGATTAGGAAAAGTAAATACAAAGTTTACAAGAGAGACACAGAGAGAGTTCAAGTGTAAAAATGGCCGAATCCCCTTAATGAAGGGGTCTTCCTCTTTTTATAACGAGATGAATGCATGTAATCATCATTAAATCCATGGGTTGGTGTGAATATCAGGACATAATCCGACTTTATGTCCCATTGCCCACTTCCCAAGCTGATTTCACGCGATTTGGAGCAGGGAAATGGACACGTGGGAGCTCTATAGCATTTAGCAGGCCTGACGTGCACTTACTGTTCTGACGGGAGCAGGTCACACTTCATCACGTGACTTCCCACGTCAGCCCTTGATTTCCCAGGCATAACAGAAGTCCCCTAATTTTTAAGGTTTGAGGATCGAACCTTGGAAACTAAGTCATGCCGCGATTGGAGGTTCTGGTAATTTCGACCTGAATGGAAGAAGCTCGGGACAAGGCCTTTTGCGAACACGACCTCGCACAATCTTTGCCCAAACGACCTGACAATCATCATCCTAGCGACCTGGATTCATCGGGCATTTCTTACCGTGCCTTGGAGATTCAATGAGCCTGCTTCTGCGCTGTCAGGTGCTCTGCACATGTTAAAGCGTCTGGCACGTGCATTAAATGCGTTGTGTGCTAACCTGGCGTTGTTTTGACAGCATTAATTGCACGACACATTCGAAACGACAACCCTCATCACAACATTGAATGCGGCGTGGGGCACATTTAATGCGGGGAGAGAGAGAAGGCTGTTGTTTCGATTCCGAGGGATGGTAACCGTCGGTTCGCAGTCCATATAAAAGCCCAAATTTTTCAGATGATGCCACCAGAATCCCTTCTGCCTCGAGCGAAAAATCTTTGCAAACCGGAAGCTCTTCTTTTCCGATTAGCATCTCTCCGGTATCCAAAACAAGATCCGTCCTCGGTCACGCGCCCCAGAAGGTAAGGTCCTTTTCCTTCTTCCTCTTTTTTTTTTTTTTTTTTTTTTTTTTTTTGTGTTTGGTTGGTGGGCAATGGCGTTGGGTCTCCTGGTGTTTCATCAGAGATGCGACGCTGTGGTCGGATTCAAGCGGTGGATGGTGGCTCGAGTTACTATTAGGGTTTAAGGAATTTGTCCCATGCCGCCGTGCGGGACAACATGCGATGGATAAA